AGTCTAACGTCCTATAGGTGCTGGTTGGTACAGTAGATGTCTCGGTGGAGTAGTCTAACGTCCTATAGGTGCTGGTTGGTACAGTAGATGTCTCGGTGGAGTAGTCTAACGTCCTATAGGTGCTGGTTGGTACAGTAGATGTCTCGGTGGAGTAGTCTAACGTCCTATAGGTGCTGGTTGGTACAGTAGATGTCTCGGTGGAGTAGTCTAACGTCCTATAGGTGCTGGTTGGTACAGTAGATGTCTCGGTGGAGGAATCTTAGGTGGATACCGGAGTATTCTAATAGAGCTCCCTAGACGATAGGTAATAACAATTATCGGCTACAATATAAACAGTGGTAAAAAGCAAGACTGGCTTGGTTTGTTCCTCAATGACAATGAAATACAATGTATACCCAAAGGACAATAGATATTTCTACTTAAATTACACATGAACCATGTATCAATAAAGTGAATTAAAGTGTTCTCATACTTTTACTTCCTCGTAGACATGTTCAGCCAGTGTTCTTTAAGTTTTATGTGGGGATGGCCATACACACAGTATAGCGCAGGCCGTTTGGCTTGGGATGGTAAAATATATATACTTGGACAGGAATATTTGGTAGTGCCATTGCAGATCGTTCAAGCTGCAGGTTCTCAATCGGTGTGTACATAGTGGTCATTTCTGTCCGGTACAAGTGGAATAGACTTTAGTCCGGTTTTAGGTGCCGTATCTTCGAGTAGGCATTGTGATAGGTAACAAGATGGTGTTGTGTCCTGGCTAACTTGATGGTAAGTTTCCTGCAGGCCTGGTAATGTGTGACATTTTTCTCGGACACTAGAATGGCGGGATTGGTATCCGTTGTGCCTATTATGTTGATCTCTTCCGAGTGGGCCCGAGAGTTCATTCTGGTTCATTCTGGTTCTTTTCTTAAGGTTTGAATCTGGCAAGGTAAAATGTACCTTGTAATAGCTCGCTGTTTTCGTTGTCGTAGGGGTTGTCATAGGCCTAGGGGTGACCATATAGTATGGTGCAGGTTGTTGAATCGGACAGATCCAATAAGGATGCAAGGGATCACAAAGTGGAAAAATAACACACGAAGAGGCAGAGGAGTCCAACGTCCTATAGGTGCTGGTTGGTACAGTAGATGTCTCGGTGGAGGAATCTTAGGTGGATACCGGAGTATTCTAATAGAGATCCATAGACGATAGGTAATAACAAGTAGGTAAGAGACGGAGTATCAACACCAGGGATTCCGTGAATTAGGAGATTTTATTTGTTGACATGTTTCAGTAGGCTAGGCCTACCGTCATCAGAACAATTTTACAGTGGCATTGTAGAGCTAAGGTGCAAATAACAGTTAACAATAAAACGACATCATGATATTATTATTTAGATCACGTGATATCAACAAGTTTTGGCGGGAAATAGTGACTGCAAATTGGTGGCGCTGATACCAAAACATGTCAACAAATAAAATCTCCTAATTCATGGAATCCCTGGTGTTGATGCTCCATAATGTTAGGATATTATGAACTATTAAAACTTGAATAAGTGTTTTCCCTGCTGAAAAAAATCTGTTGTTTTGTCATTTCAGCTACTTTGTGATGAACTTTGATTCCAGTACAAATGCCAAGGAAGAAATAGAAAAGAGATTACGCAGGGATGCCGAAATAGTTCGACCCACCATTTTCTCAGTAGTAGAAGATGACGAGCGACCATGTATGAGGGGACTTGAGTGCCAGTTTGGTGAAAATGTCTCTCTGATTGGTGAACGTTTGTCATGGAGAACTAAAGCTCTTAAAAAGACAAATCTGTATGCAGGATTGAAGAAGAATAAAAAGAATTGAGGAACTGTATCAAAGTACATGTCAAACATCGACAGAAGTGCTATTCAAGAATTTGTGTTAAGAAGCGAATGTCACTTAAAGTATGTGTGTAAATATTGATGTGTTCTTATGAAGATTTCAAAAACTCACAAATCTTCTGAAAATTTTGCACCATTTCAATATACTTTATTTTAATATTACCTTGTGACAGAACAAGCTGATACTATGTTAGCTCAGTTCATGACTCGACAACACAATTAATATTATCTTCAAGTATGGCTTTGATTGGGGTGATTTTGTGAACAGTGTTCTATATCTACAGAAAATACGATCACCGAGTCAGATCTATTTCATTGATGAAACAGCTAAACGACAACTTGGCTGTGAATTCATTTTCCTTACAGAAGGCATGTTCCCACCATGTTTTCAAGATTTCAAAATTGTCGGTACTGCTTGCCAATTACCCTGTATTATGCTATCATTTTATTGGTATGCTTTTTTTTTCAGTAATCATGCATTGTGTATTAGATATTCTAATTTGGCTAAAATACAATCAATTTCATGACCTAGCATTGATTTAAAGCACCTTTTCCTGAAAGGGTGTCTTTCACGTACATTTTTGAAAGTAATAGTGGTATTATTTCTGAAATCCACTTTTAAAATGAGATGAGTTTGAGGAAAGTAGTTGTCATACAAATCCTGTGTTCGGAGAAATAAAGACAATACATATAATTGTATGAAAATGTTTGATTTAATAGATTTAGTACTTGCATGTTGAGTTGGTTAGATTATTGACTCTTGTTATTCTAGACAGGATAATAAAAGAAAACAATTGGATGCTTAAGAACAGGAAAAACAAAAATTCAGAATTCATGAAAAATGGTGCTTTCTTAGATACGACAGCCACTTGAGATTGTCACTGGGGAAGATCTGAAAACCTAACTTGCACTGTCAGATTTAGGCTTCACTGCCAAGTAATGTTGGTTAAGTTGTAAAACCCAATGTTTGGATAATATCAAAGGATCAACTGAAAGTGGTGTTTGTATCTAATAATAATAATAATAAACTTTATTTATTGAGGATACAAAACCTGTTTAGCAAAGCTAATCTTCCACAGGGTCCTCTGTTAGTAAAATTGGTTAGTTAAAAGACAAAGTAGTATCACAGCAAATAAATGTACATAAAATAATTGTTGGTCTACTAAAACATCAATTCATATCACAGTTATTTCATAATTTAAACGGTTGTTCATTACAATTACAATAAAATTATCACAGAAGCACGAAATATATTCTGTGCTTAACCCATTATGGTTTTCATTAAAAGACAAATTGTCTAATTTACATATATGCTAATGTAGCAAAAGCTAAAAATTGACAGAATACACGCTAATATAGCGAAAATAAAACAAATCAAAGCTGTATCTAAAAAGTATAATAGTAAAAATAAAAGACAATTAAACCGCATTCTTAATGTTACCAATCATATTTTGTTTGAATTTTGTCAAGGAGGAAGAGAGTCTTACTTCAACCGGTAAATTATTCCAAATCTGGCTCCCTTGTACCAAAAAGTGTTTGGAATAAAATGTGGTACGGTGTTTGGGTACCTTGACAGAGTTTTGGGATGCTGATCTAGTATATCTGTTGTTAGACAAATTAAATTGATTAGAAAGATATCCTGGAACTAGATTATTTATACATTTGTACACCATAACACCTCTTTTGAATTTCAAATATTCGCCAATTGGTAACCACCCTAATGAAGAAAACATTTCTACTGATGGTGTATCAAATGGAGCATCCAACAGTAATCTTGCAGCTTGTTTCTGCGCTTTTGACAGTTTTTGTAGAAGATTGCATATCTAAAGTACTCATGTTAAAGAGCACAATGTTTATTCTATTTATTCTTTGTGTTTTTTCAGAGAGTGAAGCATGTGTTCTTAAAAAAACAGGAAAGTAAAAACAGGAAAGTTAAAGTATTCAGGTTGTCTGTCTGTTCAGTTTGTTTTGCTTTTGTACATTGTTGATGGAAGTAATTGGGGTATCTTTTTAAAACTTAAACATGGTGATTTCCCTGCTACCCAAAATCTACTTCCTCAATTTTTAGGCCAATTGGATTCAAAATGGCTGCTAATCAGCCATCTTGGATTTTGACATTACAGTTTATTATTGGTAAATTTTACATCTCTTAGCCGCTAAGCATCTTGTTATGACATAATGAAACAGAGCTGGTCATATTCAAACAAGATGTCAACTGACCAAACCTTTTTGTTATGACATTATGAAGCAAAGTTGGTCAGAAACAAATGTCGACAAAAGGAGTATATAAGTAACAATTAAATGTCAATGTAACACTCACTTCAGTACAAGATGCAAGAAGATTTATTTAGAGTCGTACATGTTAAACAGTGAACATTAGCTCTGTAGAGCTACGACAAAACATGAATAAAATTCATAGAAAATTACAAACAAAACAAAATATCACAGCGTGCATGTTGAATAAAGAATAAAAACAGCTTAAGGGACTGAACAATACAAAAATCTCACTATTAGAGTCGGATACATAGCGGGTCCGTTCCTGTCATGTCAGTAATCTAGTTAATGTCTCTGGTAGCTAATGTTCAGAAAACAATCTTTAATTGTTTCTGCAGACCTTGTTCGGCCAACATATGCCTGAATAGCTTGGGCCTCCCCCACTTCCACATAGTAAAATTTTGAACAATAATACATATATATGTTTTCATGGTTCTAACATACTTTTTTCAGCGAAATATGAGGTCTAACATGGTTTCTGAAGTAGGAATATCGGCAATAGTTCTAATGAAACCTACATTTTAATGACATGATAGAGACGACCTTGTAAACCCGCAATATCCCTCTCAGATAAAACAAGTGCTTGCATGGATGGAACTGTCGTTTAAGTTATTTATGTGTGACACGTTGTGTTTAACTTCCTTACGTATATAAGTTATATGATATTGTCACCACATGTGACGTATTATAAACAAGCTTTACCAATCTGATTAAAATACAGCTCCTCTACTATCGTACGATACTAGAACGATAGCATAATGAGGAGCTGTATTTTAATCAGATTGAAGCTTAACATGTATCAGTTTAACAACAAGGCCTTTGGTCAAATGTGGTCCTCCTGTTTTCAAAGATAGTCCATACACTAAAAAAATACATAAATTGTTGTATTAGTCAAAAATCACAAAAACAAGACAATATTATAACACTAATTATAAGTTATCGGTAAAAGTAATAACAAGAAATGTTTTCAGATCCAGTGTTAATATCCTGTTTTAGAAGCAATCAAATGAAGCCGCGTACGTCAAACCAGTGTTTTCATCCACAGCCTCCACCTTCAGCTCTGTACCTCCCAGTATCATCCTGACCTTGACTGCTCTGTTAGTTCCCCCTGTGAGGTCAGGCATTCGTACACTGATAGTTCCAAGGGCACGGCACCCTGGATCTGTGGTGTAAGTTAGATTTTCAGAAGGAGATGCAATAACTCTGATAGGCATTATTGCCTGATTTTTACAAACTGGACTGAAAGATTTGTAGGGCGTTGCCTGGCCATTTCGCATTGTCGTACCAACTGTTATAAATTTTGAGAATACATCTGAGCAGTACTCTATTCCCTCGATTAGTGTCAGTTGATTTATGGGATGCCTGCCATGATCAAATTCAACAACCCCTTTTGTACCATATGTCGATGTTGCCATTCTCCATCCGATGATGTCGGAGTCGTGACCGAAAATGACTGCTCCTTTAAGGACAGCCGAGGTTGCCTCCACCGGTATATGTACCTGGATGTGAGGGAATGCTTCTATCATAGCCGCCTGCAGAAGTTTGCTGTCTGATAATCCTCCTACCAAATAGATAGCATCGGCAGAAGCCACCTCTGGTTTGGCTATCAGCTCCCTTACGTGGTTTACAATCTTTTGGACTGGCACATCAAAGAAGCTGGCAAACGTTTGGTGTGGAATGCTCATTTTGTCACCTCTTATCTTGATTGGCTGTTGTATTCCGGCTGTTCTACCCAGGCTTTCTCTAAGACAGTAAGGAATCCAGATATTGACCGGTGACATACCCATTGCGGCTTCCGGATTAAAAGACCGTTTGACAATCTCGAATTCCCTCTCTATCTGCAAATTTTCAGCTTTTGACATTTTCCTGATAGCGGCGAGTCCAAAGACTTTCACAAGGAATGTCTGGAAAGCGTCGTCTACCTTTGTCCCTCCCCATGGTCCTCCTGATGGAGGAAGGACTTCCTGTAGTTTATCTGAAAGGTGAACTTTGTGCGCAGTCACATCCACAGTACCGCCTGCAAATGATAATGGTAGATATAAAAATGACTTGATAGCACATACAAAAAATGTACTTTCTTAGTAAACAGACACGGTAAACACAGCTTACGTATTAACTTAAGAATGAAGTCGATAATGTTTGAAAGGGTCATTACAGTGTATGGAATGCTGTTCCTGTCTTGTAGTTACTTTCGTAATGTGGTTCGTTCTTTATTATAATTTTACGTTATGTCAAGAGTCTCTATTTTATGACATATAAAGAAGTTACCATATAATGTAATGGAGTTGAACACAATAAGGCAGATACGGCGACTAATAAAATTGACCTAATTAGCATATGTGTGATATTAAGAAGCAGATACTTTTGTTCGATTCTCAAGGTCGAGATAAATACCTCCAGAATCCACAATCATGAACGTATGGCCGATGGGGAACATTCCCTGGCGAATGTTGGATTTACAATACAAGGCAGCAGCTTCCGGTTCAAGAGCCAGTGTGAGACGATCACCATTTATGCCGGCCTGTAAGAGCATTGGAATATAGGATATTCATGACCTATTATCATACAGATACCATTTGTTAACCAGTAATTATCTAAGCACAAGAGGAGAATACCTATTTGTCAACAAAAGCGTAACTAACATAATCACAAACATTACACAAGGAAATAAATTATTTCCCTATGGGATTATGATGTCGACCATAAAACTTGTCTGTGGTATACATCAACCTGCATCTCCCGAAACCAAACGTGTTAGTTTGTCCTTCAGCAGTCAAAAACTATCGCTGAAACCATGATATCCTGAGCAAGCTCTTGAACAACTACGTTAGGGAAACGGGGATGGTGATATCAAGAAGAGGAAAGTTGCCATCGCGAAAACGATATCGCGACGCTTATCGTACAGCATTATAGTGAAAGATCAGGGAACGTGGCTGATGTAGAAGAGTATGTAGTTTTTAATATTTTTAGCTCAGAAGGGTAGTCCTGATTTAATGGTACTTGGAACTGAAGAAAGAAGTTTAGATAATTGCTTGCTTGAGACACTTGCACAGCTGGTTGATTCTTTTGAAGTTTTCATATTTGTTGGGAAAAAATGGAAAACGTATATATTAGATTTACTTGGTTATCAAGCAAGCCTCATTCTTTCAGTAAGTATCATTCTAATATGACAGTAAAGATGTCTCGATAATGACATTCCATGAAATGCCCTCGTAGCTTTACATTAGGGACAATATTTTGGAACTCGATTGTATTGAAATGTAGAACAGGAACATACTGAAGGAGAGATTATTCTGAGGCCATCTTAAAAAACGTATAAGCAATATGTTTAAAATAACTGAGAAATGATTGGGACACTTTTGTACTTGTTACATTTTCTGTAGCTATGCCGGACTTGTGGTGTAGGTAATATGACATGGACTCTACCTACTACACAGATTTTGTAACGTATCATCATATACCGACTTGTATATATTATACTCTAGCACATACATGTGATGCCGTTGGAGCACAAAGTAGGGAGATTGAATTTTAAGTAGGGAGAGTTTTTTTGCGGCATCACGCCGTAATGTCGTTTCTTTAATAATTGACAATTTTTCCTATATTTTTAGGAAAAAAAACACCATGTGTATTTTCAAATTTTCTATTAAAAATCAAAAACTCATCAAAATATTGGTTCGGTTTTGCAATGAATTAGATATAATAGAGATACAAGTAATTGAACGTTTGAAAAGATCAGAAAAATGACAGTTTTAACAGCCCTGTCTTCTTAATTACTACCATATCCAGTTTGTCACATTTGTGTTGGACAAAAAAGGCAAATAATGCAGATAATGTACGTGTAATGTGGGCCAATTTGATTTGGTATTCACCATTATTGATCTGTTGTGAAACTGTTGATCTTTTAGAAAAAGATGGGAGCCATATTTGGCTGCCGCTCACCGATAAGCATTTATCTTTGCATGATGATACATTTGGGTCAGACCTATATAAATTCCAATTTGTGAGAAAAAAAATCGGCTTTACCTATTTGGAGATATTGGGGGTAATGACAATTTTCCGATTTAAGGCATACATGGATCTTTTATTAGTTAATGTTTTTAACGAACAACCATTAGGTTGAGGTCTATATTAAAGAATTCACAATGAAATAGTGGGTCGATAATAAAAACAAATAGTCACAGTGACTCATTTCAAATAAAGTTGATTTCTGCTGTATTCACGTTACAATAACTCTTGTGTTTCTTATATTCTGATCCGAAACATAATTGATACTCCAGGAATATTAAATGAAAAATATTCTTAGTAGTTTAATGGAATGTATCAAAGGTATAATAGTAAAATTAATAGGGACAAGGGGCCCATTGCATGTATACATACAGGAGACAATATGTCAGATTGTCATGTCAACCAGCACCGAATCACTTCATTATTACTCTCTGTTTGGTGACGTTTCAGCGCACTTTATTTTTTATTTTTGTTTATTCATATTTATGAAATTTTCTGATTTATAATAATTATTCCTTTTATTTACAATGCAATCCTCTTGAGTAGGACACAGCTAGTCAGACTGTGAGCAATCATCGGATTTGATTGCGTCATTTACCACACAGTGAGTTAATTTATTCGACAACTATTTGCACTTGTTTTCTTGGTGAAGCTCATGAGAAAATACTAAAGGTCCTTTTCATAGGTGCATTTATCATACTCTTATCATTGACCTTTCAAATAAATGTTATGATTAGAATGAAGGGTAACATTTAATGGAATTAAAAGAAACTTATTCTTGTTTAATCACATTTAATTGAATTTTTTTGGGAACACATATCTGAATAATTGATTTAGACTTAATTAATGGATATTTTTGGAACAGAAAAACAAAATATATGTCATTTTACTGCCCCTCATTTGACCCCTAATATGTCGGAAGGGGTTACACGAATTTTATTTACATACATGTAAATTAGTTTGTGTAGGTCTGACCTAAAGGTATGGTAATGCAAAAATAAACGATAATCGGTGAGGGGACCATTAAATAGCCAAATATGCCATCCCTCCTTTCCTTCACAATGTTTCAAAATTAGAAGTACACGAAATCATAGCGGAAGATTCAGTGTTTTAATGGTGTAAAGATCTGTCATTTGCCACGTCTGGAATGTATTTGCGGATTGTGCCATCAGAGTGCAATTATTTCTTTACGCATTTTAAAGACAGCTTTTACTGAAAAATGATGTCTATAAGATTTCTTGTCGCAAAAGTACAGAAATAAAACCCAAACAGCGTTTATTATACCCGGCATTTTGACATTTGGGAGTGACCATTGTAAGGAAATCTATCAAAGATGTCTTGAAAAATAGAAGTGAACATATAAAAACTGTATAAGGAATGACCCAACAAAACAACTAAATTCTACTATGACTATTGACTGATCAAATTGGAAAAGACGGGCGCTTTAGGCATTTGAGTTACCTGTAACTACATTGTAACATTTTATCCGGTAGATTTACCTTCACTGCAGCCTTCCTCATGAACTGTTTGGCAGCATCGTTCCAGATTGCAGGTACAGTTAAAACCCACTGGATGTCCTCTTCCTCAAAGATGCTTCTTTCCTGCAACATTTCGTGGAAATGATCCCGAAGATACTTGATCCCTGCTGAAAACACGTTCATTGCGCGCATCTCCCTTCCTGTCACATCTTTTATCCTGGTCATCTCATTTAAATTCTGGAAATGGTACCATCAAATGAACATTATGATATTACCATTGTTCATATAATAAAATACTGCAATACAAGGAAACGTAAGACTTAAATACTGTTAATTAATATTGTTAATCGTGAATGAAAATTAGAGCCAAAGTTTTGGGCCGCAAGAACAGTCATTTTAGGTCAGAAAAAAACTTTTCGGCTGCTTCATCTTCTACATGTAGAAGAAAATACTTCAAGTTACAGCTCTGACTGGAAATGTTCTTTGCGATTATAACTGAGGTAGTGGAACCCTTTAATCTAACGTGTTTCTACTGTTGTAGAATTATTTGTTAACTACTTTAGAATGATAGCCAACCTCTATAAGAAACATGTTTTTCTAAAGAAGATCTGAAGGTTAATAGTATTATACAAACTGGTTGATGAAATTCTCACCTCGTTTTTGAAAAGCGTCATTTTGAATCTTTTGAAGTAATACCATTGCTTTTGATGGTCATCCGGCAACCTGGTGTAAGTATCCTCTGCCTGGTACCCGAATGAGTGGAACTTTTGTCTGGAGTCAAATAGTATGGAGGTAGGTGCCTTAGTGGACTGTTCCAAGCCTATTCCAGTCGGCCAAAGGTAAGTTCTCACTTTTTTCTTGTTAGACTTATACTCGTGGTAGAAGGAAAAGGCGTAACCCGAGTACGTCGTCCCAAAGTCGATAGCTACCACCAGTAATTTCTGAGCTGAGGCCATCTTGAAGAATCATAAACATGATATAAATTCATTGAAATGACGCCTGATTACATCCGAAACTTCTCTGCCGAGACCATCATGAACTCTGTCATAAATCAACACGCACTTTAAATATTTAGTCAATGGTTTATGTTTTCTGTGTATCACTTAGGTAAGAGAAGTTATTAACGTTTTCCATTACAACTAATCACTTCGTACACCTCTCCAAAGTTTAGAAATAACAAACTTTATATATGTATATATTGTATATCTTAAATTAACAAAGCATTGATTATTCGCATAACGCCTTTAAGGTTTGTTAAATACAGTGAGCAATGTGCATTATAATGTTTACTAAGCTCCTGAATTTAGGCTAAACAATTAGAACGGGGTTTTTTCTACAGAAATAAATGCAGCTGACGTTTATTTTAACAAATAGAAATCAGTGAATTTGTTGTACAACATGTGGCATACATTGTTCTTTTCGCTTACTATTTTTTGTTCCACCAAAATTGTAGAAATAACAATTTCTCGGGCTTAAAACACCAACATCTTTATTGAAAATCTATTCCAGATAAGAAAGTAAACTTACTTCGCTCAGAAAATATCATGTGCCCCCATAGACGTAGAGAAAAAGTGGGAAGTGGGGATCATATCGCAGTTCCAGTTTATAGAACTCTCAATTTCAAAAGAGGTTCAACAAAAATTGTAGCAGCTACAAGCAGCAGTAATTTATGTTGTGTATGATCATTTATCCCATTTGAAGTGATGGAGAAATCAGGGCCAATATTGCCACTCACACACAAAATCGACAGGATGAGTTTTATCTTATGCTAAGAAACGAAACAATACACATTGTATTAATAATGAATATGGTTTTTTTTTGTGCTAAGAATTGGTGTCATTGAATAATGTCACGGTATTGAATGTTAAAAACAACACGATTCATCAGAATTTTGAGCAATTTTTATAAGTTAGAGCATGTTCATTATGCCACATTTCAAACAGAGAATATATGTGAAATTGGATATCTTAAATTAACAAAGCATTGGTTCTACGCATAACGCCTTTTAAGGTTTGTTAAATACAGTGACCATTGTTCATTATAATGTTTACTAAGCTCCTGAGTTAAGGCTAAACAATTAGAAAGGTTGTTTTTTCTACTGAAATAAATGCAGCTGACGTTTATCTTAACAAATAGAAATCAGTGAATTTGTTGTACAACATGTGGCATACATTGTTTTTTTAGTTTACTATTTTTTGTTCAAGCAACCCACTCCTCAAATTGTAGAAATAACCATTTCTCGGGCTTAAAACACCAACATCTTTATTGAAAATCTATTCCAGATAAGAAAGTAAACTTACTTCGCTCAGAAAATATCATGTGCCCCCCGTAGTAGTAGAGAAAAAGTGGGAAGTGGGGATCATATCGCAGTTCCAGTTTATAGAATTCAAAAGAGGTTCAGCAAAAATTGAAGCAGCAACAAGCAGCAGTAATGTATGTTGTGTATGATCATTTATCCCATTTGAAGTGATGGAGAAATCAGGGCCAATATTGCCACTCACACACAGAACCGACAGGATGAGTTTTATCTTATGCTAAGAAACGAAACAATACCCATTGTATTAATAATGAATATGTTTTTTGTGCTATGAATGGATATCATTGAATAATGTCACGGTATTGAATGTTAAAAACGACACGATTCACCAGAATTTTGAGCAATTTTATAAGTAAGAGCAAGTTCATTATGCCACATTTCAAACACAGAGCATATGTGAAATTTTATTAAATTGTATTTATATTGCATACATTATAAAAAAAAAACATATCAAAATAGAGGCAAAGCAATCAAAATCTCCATAACAACATAAGCCAACACTGTTGATAGTTAAATTATCTAGCTTCCAGAGAAAAACACAAGCAGGAAGTGTCTTTTGGATTACTTCCACCTCGAAACATAGACCATTGTGTTTATAGAGCTATCGTAGTACTCATGCTTCTAAATTGTTCTATTCAATAAATCGTATTTCTTAGTGCTACTCGAATTATCCAGCATCATTTTTTACAACAGTCTTTCGGAGTAATTTGTTCTGAAATACTTATTTTTCCTTTATAAAATCCAAACAATGACGGCCAGTTGGATTATTTCTAGATGAACTTTAACTATTTGTGGTGTTCAAATGGATTATAAATTTCTGAATATTTTATATTTAATGTACATGGGCAAAGAAGTAATAACGATAGTGCAGACAAAGAAATTTGTCAAATTCAGGGCGATCTGCCTCTTTTAATATCAAGACAGGAAAATGAAAATTTAAATATAACAATATAAAACAGAGATAAAAAGTCACGATGAAACAATATTACTATAAAAATACATACACAAAATAAAACAGTAGTTACTTATATAAAATTTGCTATCGTAATTGCATATCCCCTCGGTCAGCTTCTAACCGAAGGTTAATTATTGTAAAAAGTTCATCTTCAATACGTGAGGTCAAGTGAACTAATACAAACAAGAGGCCCAGATGACCTGTATCGCTCGCCTGGATAATAAAGCAATCATAGGAAATTATTCTTATTACATAAAATCCCTCCAATGGTAATAAAGAAGAAGGATTTTAAAGATTTAAACCTCAAATTTCCCTATTTGGCCCAGCAACTCTGCACCCAGAGGAGCCACACCCTCCGTTTATGCACAATTTAGTCCCTTTTGCCCAAGAATAATCTAGGCCAAATTTGGAAAATAAATCCCTCAAATAGTACAGAAAGAGAAAAATTTAAAATATTTATACCTCAAGTTCCTCCATTGGGCCCCGCCCCTCTGCATCAAGAGGGGCAAAACACTTCATTAATACTAAATCTTATCATCTTTGTCCAAGAATGCTCCTGGCCAAATTAGGATAAAATACCTCAAATGGGACAGAAGAAGAAGGATTTTTAAAGATTTAAACATCAAATTCCCCTATTTGGCCCTCAACTCTGTACCCAGATTGACTACACCCTATGTTTATACAAAAAATAGTCCCCTTTGGCAAAAGATACTCCATGCCAAATTTTGATACAATCCCTCCAATAGTACAGAAGAAGAAGGATTTATAAGATTAAAACCTCATATTCTACTTTTGAGCCCGCCCTTCTGCACTAAAAGGGGTAACATCCACCCTTTATACAAAATTTAGTCCCCTTTGCCCAAGGATGCTCCAGGCCAAATTTGTATAAAATCCCTCTAATGTTACAGAAGGACAAGGATTTTAAAGATGGAAACCTCAATTCCCCTATTTCCCCCCCCCCCCCCCCCCCCTTCTGCACCCAGAGGGCCACACCCTCCATTTCTACAAACTTTAATTCTCTTTGCCCAAGGACGATCCACGCCAAATTTGGATAAAATCCCTACAATGATACAGAAGGAGAATGATTTTAGAGGGCCAAACCCTCCATGTATATAAACTTTAATTTCTTTTGCCCAATGATTCTGCATGCCAAATTTGGATAAAATCCCTCCAATGGTAAAGAAGAAGAAGGATTTTAAAAGTTTAAACCACAAACCCTATTGGGCACCGCTCCTCCAATAAGGAGAGGGGGGAGGCACAACCACCATTTATATCAAATTTAGTGCAGAAGTCCATACTAAATTGGGATAAAATCCCTTGTTCCTACGATAGAATAAGGATTTTAAAGGTTTAACCTCTATTTCCTCCATTGGGTACGGCCTCTCTGTCCTAAGTGAGGCCATACCCACCGTTTATACAAAATTCAGTCCCCTTGGCCAAAGGATGCTGCAGACTAAATTAGGATAAATCCCTTTAATCCTACGGTAGAAGACGGATATTAACAGTTTTTACCTCTATTTCCCCTATTGTGACCCACCTCTCTGACCCCAGGGAGGCAATACCCATTGTTTATACAAAATGTAGTCCCCTTGGCCCAAGGATGCCGCAGACTAAATATGAATAAAATCTCTTCATCCCTATGGTAGAAAAGGAATGTTAAAGATTTTACCTCTATTTCCCCTGTTGGGTCTCTGCCCCCGGGCGGTCCAAACCCACCGTCTATAAAAAATTGAGACTTCTTGACCAAAGGATGTTCCAGACCAAATTGGGAGAAAATCCCTTAATCCCTACGGTAAAAGAAAGATTTTAAATGTTTACCTCTATTCGACCTCACACCTGCCCACAGGGGGCCACATTTACCGTTTATACAAAATTCAGTGCCCTTAGCCTAAGGATGCTCCTGACCAAATTAAGTCAAAATCTACTGGGCCGTTCAGGACTAGTAGCGTTTTAAAGAAAAAGTTGACGGACGGACGATGGACGGAGGGACGGACGGAGGGACGATGGACGGACGGACGGACGGAGGGACGACGGACGTTGCGGTACGGCATAAGCTCACCATGGTACGTCCTGCGGACCAGATGAGCTTAATACTTGTAAATGTAGTGAGAAAAATCTAACTTGTAGTTGTTCGTGTCTATCTAATCTACCTGTAAATGTACCTGGTAAACTATTAGTGAATTGTGGTTTTTCTTCTTAAATGAACTTGTGCTTATAATATATTTGTTACCCATGATTGTCTATTAAAAAGGCCAGCAGCTTTTCTTTATTAAACACAAGTATGTGCTGTTAAATGCTGAAGAATGAACAGCTGCATGCACATATCTATACAAAGGATGATGTCACGTCTTTGTTTAAATCATATTATGTGTATAGCCTTTTTACCACTCTCGTGTCTATTTCCGTTTTGGAAGTGATTCTATTTATACCAGTCACCAATCAATCCATTACTGTGTGTATTAATACGTATATTTCAGAACCGAAACCTTTCATAACGAAACTTAAACAGGGTGATTTTTGAAAATCCTGAAATGAATTTTCAGGAATCAGAAATGTCTATTTTCGGTTGTCACATATTACTGAAAAATCTTAAGTCAAATACTGTAAACAGTCAGAAACAAGAAATATATTCTATGAATTGTGGAGTTTGTATATATACACTATCATGTACCAAGTACATGTCAATTAAATATTAACAATAGTATCTAACACTACACACATATATCAAGGAGAAATATCCATTATTTACTACTCTAACACTCCTTCGCATATACAGCCACTTTAAACACATTTATGCAATCAGACATCATTATTATTAAAATTCTATATATATGATATCATAATGCCATAATTATCGTCCATTTGTTTTCAACATATGGAAAAAACATCATTTAAAATGTTCCAGTGACCTATCATAATATTGACCTATATAATTTTAATGTTCACATGAACCGGTATGTATGTAAGGCAAATAGCTCCGAGCATAAACTTTAAAAACTATAAGTACGTAAATCGACATATCAAGAAATATCTACTTACATTTGGGCATCACATCCAGTTACGGATCAATTCTGGGTAATACTTCTCATCTCAAGTTCTGAATTGACAGTACAATACACATACTTGCAGTACTGTAGTACTTTCGGTTTCGATTTTTAGAAACAGTTCGGTCTCGGTCTCAGTTAACACTTGCTTTCGGTTTCGGTCTATAAACAGTCAACATTAACTTTCTTTTTCGTTTTAAAGTTGACGTTTAATTGTCTTTTGTGAAATAGTTCGTGCTGTCCACATCACCTCAGTTCGATTGGGTTTTATCATTGTCTGTACAAGATCTATAATAACGTTATCAGAATGCTTGGTAATAAAAGTGGTAAAAGTACAAGATTGAGCATTATCAACGATTAAGTGGCAAAGCATAGCCATATGAATAACACTCAATAAACAGAAAGGTATGTTGGCATGACGCTATATAATGTAGACGTTCATGTTTTAGCGGTAGTCTCACTCTAGCGATCGCTTTAAATATTGCGCTACATTATGATGGCAGACTTTGAAGCTTTGTTCTCTGTTACAATTTTGGGATGCTCCAATCCATCAATGCGATTATCTTTAAAACCTCGATAATACGCCAACATTGGAGTATGCTGAAATAATTACGTTTACAGCATATACATGTATATAGCGAGCAAGTTACATAGAGGTGTCACTAAATCACCAACAATTTTCACTGGAATGACACTTCATGTATATTACAAGCAGGTAACATTCAAATGTAACCTACAAGCTACATCACCCTGATCTAATCTTTGATACGGTAACGACTTTTAAAGTTAATGTCTCTTTATTCGTAAGGTTGACAATAAATAAAGATTTGTATAAAAGTCTATTGTGTCGATCATTTATATGATTCGACGTATTGTTGTCATTTGTTTCAACAGAGAGGTTAGTATGAATGTTAAATCCATTGAAAATCTATTCATTATATTATCATGTGTAAATTAATAGTTGTTTCACTCGTCGGATAGAACCTGTGACATGAAAACGAACTCAGTAAACAGTTGGCTAGACTCCTGGTAATGATTGTGGCTTATAAAAATGGTTAACACACCATCGTTTCAGTAATAATATGAGGGCAAAGCACAGGATTGGCAACTCAACAGTAAACAAACATGGCTCACCGTCATTCTGCTAACTGTGTCCTATGGAAACGCTCGTTGGCTATTCAGTAAGTTTCAGAATGCGTGTTCACTAGCTGGTGCCATTTTCGTGAGCCAAAAAATCATATAGCAATACTATGTAAATTCATACTAAAAACACAAACAAATGAATGAATGAATGGACCTGGTGAATAGAAAAATATATTGATGTGAAAACTTTTGATAGATACAAGTACTTTAGTAGTCAAAATTCATTAATTATTTTGTATAACAATGATATATAAGTTGTGTTTTTTTAATTTTATCTTTTTCACTGAATCTAGCCCATCTAATGCTATAATGGACAGTTGATAGCGATGAGTTTGAATGAGTGTAGTAAGCGAAGGAAGGAGGAGAACAAAAGAAATACAAGTTTTGTAAGATAGGAAGGCGAGTGTGTTGTATGTAAACCCTACTACTAGAGGAAACTGTTTTTCCGGGAGGTTGAGGTTAGGCACACCAGCACTGTGACAGATCTCAACTAGTTATATAGGGATATATATGTATACTTTCGTGAAATATTTATATTTCAATTAGATTTTTGATGTAATTTGCGTATGCATGACACCGTTAAAATTCGTTAAGTTATACGACGCAGAAGAAATATATAAGTATACTTACAATTTATTTAGTGAGTATTACCATTTACACCAATAAACCAGTCCATTATAGTGTGTTTTACCGTCCATTTAAGATACGTACCATATAGAAACACGTGTCATGGGTAACATATGATAACAAACCACACGATTGTGTTAAACAATCCCGAAATCAAATTACTGGACATCTTATGTAAACTAAGGCCAACACTGAACTGTCAACAAAACCATAACTCGAAAATAACTATAACATATAAGGCAAAACGTAAACTAAGGAAAGATTTACAGGAAGATCATTGAAAAAATACAAGAAGACCAGTCGTTCCGGGAGGTTAAATACAACTGATCTTTGTTTACACCTAACAAGTTGATTAATGTCAACAATAATTATCTTTCAAGTTAGCAAGGAGAAACACATGACAAATCTCTCTACTTGATCATTTCCAGTATTGCGCAAAACAGAGAATAACATTTTTACTAGTGTGAGTCACTTAAATATGACCATGGTAAGTCACATAACAAAGATACCAAAGAGAGCAAATCATGATTTATTTTATCAATCAAGTCCTTCTCTGTATTATGATTTATTCCTGCTACAAAAAAAATGTATTGAATTTTTATAAATTGTAAATTTTTGTAACCTGCTGCCTATATTTGTTGTTTCATTCAGAGAGGAATATTTCAAACATGTTTATCTCTAAAATATGTAAAGGGCCACGCTCCTCTGCCCGAGAAGGGCAACACCCACCGTTTATACAAAAGGTGGTCACTCAATAAAAGGCCGCTGTTGTCTTGGAAACAAGTTGAATTGCGATGTACATTTACAAGAAAAGTTCCTAATAATGATTTCTTGCGCTGTGGATGTGTGAGGATAATCTAACACAGTTGATTCATTATCATGTTAATTTTAGTATAATTTCACTTTATTTCTATATATGTAACAGGCAACTCTCGCCATTGCTTTAAAGAGAAGCTGTTCACATGTATGGAAAGAAGAAGGTGTTGTCAGGAAGATAGAAAACTTAGGAACAAAGCCCTTGCCATAGAGAATGCATATGCATGGTTCAAAAAAAGTCACTGGAAGGTAATTATAAAAAACCTGTCTGACTGTCATCTGTTTATTTATGGTGAATTTGACTTAACTTCTAGATACAAAGGAAATGTAAAAAAGGAAGTATCACCCACAGAAAGATACACAGAAAATATAAATTAGGAAGTATCACCAACAAAATGTTTGCTGTGCACAGTATTATAGCCACCTTGATGTTTCCTCCCAAGTCAGAGGTCAAATAAGTGCACAACCTAAAGTAAAATATTTTCCAGACTGAATGTGAAAACAGTGGTCACAATAACCCAATTTTAGTATGAAGTTAAGGAATTATAAAATAACTTCAATTTTGTTTTGGTTTTCTGTCATGTTCCTTTCATGTGTATATGTATCCAATGTATTCACCTGTCTGGGACTACAGTTTTTGACAAGTAACCCCTCTGGCGGCAGAGTGCAAGTTGTCGGTCCAACAGGATAAATGGGGATAAATATTTATAAGACTACTCCTCAAGTACAGTTGAAGGGATTTTAACCTAATTTAGTATGAAGAACCCCTGGGCCCTGGGAAGTCAAATGTATATGAATGAATCGTTTGGCCTATGAGGACTGAGATTGAGGCCAAAAAGGCACTTCTTCTCTAAGGCTCTGTGTCAAGTTTAACCAAACTTGGTGTGGTGCAAATAGTCCTGACATAGTCTGGCAGAGTTTTTGTATTACTTATGGCCATGGGCATTTCAAAATCAAAAATGACCACTCTGACCTCTGATTTACGGACACTTTTTCATCCGATTTATTCGAAATTCTACCTTGTCATTTTACATTAACTTGGTATACAATATGTATATAATCCACTGACAGTCCTGAACATTACAAATGTTGTTCCTTTTGGGTTGACTTAAAATTCAAGATTGGCTTAGACTATATCTACGAATTCTATTTTAAGTTCAACCAGACTGATTTTGACCCAACAATGATAAAGTTTCCCTATGATGCCCTTAAATAATAAGTGTTTTTATTGTAATTGTTTGTTTCAATGTGAAGTGTTTGTGGTTCCAAATTATAAGAAACATTCTCAATTTTCCATTCTGATAAAGATATTACTTACTCAAAATCAATTCCCATAATAGAGATTGGAGAAACTTATTTGAATACATTTTGTGGAAAAATAACACACGAAGAGGCGGAGGAGTCCAACGTCCAACGTCCTATATGTGCTGGTTGGTAGATGTCTCGGTGGAGGAATCTTATGTAGTTCGTTCAAGTTGCAGGTTCTCAATCGGTGTGTGTATAATAGTGGTCATTTCTGTCCGGTGCAAGTGGAATAGACTGTAGTTCGGTTTTAGGTGCCGTATCTTGGAGTAGGCATTGAGATAGGTAATCAAGATGGTGTTGTGTCCAGGCTAACGTGATGGTAAAGTTACTGCAGGTCCGGTAATTTGAGACATTCTTCTCAGACACTCGAATGGTGGGTTTGTGCCTGTTTTATTGGTCACTTCCGAGTGGGCCGGAGAGGAGTTTATTCTGTCTCTTTACTTAGTGCTTGAATCGGGCAAGGTAAAAGGTACATGTACCTCGAAACAGCTCGCTGAGGTTGTTTCGTAGGGGTGGCCATATAGTATGGTTGTTTAATAGGTTGTTTAATCGGACAGATCCAATAAGGATTCAAGGGATCACAAAGTGGGAAAATAGCACACGAAGAGGCGGAGGAGTCCAACGACCTATAGGTGCTGGTTGGTAGATGTCTCGGTGGAGGAATCTTAGGTGGATACCGGAGTATTAATTCTAATAGAGATCCATAGACGATAGGTAATAACAAGTAGGTAAGAGACGGAGTGTGAACACCGGGGCTTCCGTGAATAAGGAGATTTTCTTCTTTAACCTACTTGTTCAATACATTTCATAATGTTAGGATATTATGAACTATGAAAACTTGAAAAGTGTTTTCCCTGCTGGAAAAAAAAATCAGCTACTTTGTGATGAACTTTGATTCCAGTACAAATGCCAAGGAAGAAATAGAAAAGAGATTACGCAAGGATGCCTACCATCTTCTCAGTAGTAGAAGATGACGAGCGACCATGTATGAGGGGACTTGAGTGCCAGTTTGGTGAAAATGTCTCTCTGATTGGTGAACGTTTGTCATGGAGAACTAAAGCTCTTAAAAAGACAAATCTGTATACGGGATTAAAGAAGAATAAAAAGAATTGAGGAACTGTATCAAAGTACATGTCAAACATCGACAGACGTGCTACTCAAGAATTTGTGTTAAGAAGCGAATGTCACTTAAAGTATGTGTGGAATTATTGATCTGTTCTAATGAAGATTTCAAAAACTCGCATTTCTTCTGAAAATTTTGCACCATTTCAATATACTTCATTTGAATATTACCTAGTGACAAAGCAAACTGATACTATGTTAGCTTAGTTCATGATTCACCAACACAATTCATATTACCTTCAAGTATGGCTTTGTTCGGGGTGATTTTGTAAACAGTGTTCTATATTTACAGAAAATACGATCACCGAGTCAGATCTTGTATTTTATTCCCCCATTAACTTTTGGGAGGAATGCCAGGGTTGGGTGCCCCGGGTTCATCCCTATTACATAATGTAACCTCACGAAGGAGGCCTCTTTCCCTTCATTCTCTCTTTATTTTCATTTATTCTCTCAAACTTAATCTAATTATACATATTTACAAATATTGGGAAGATTTAGAACTTCATGTTGATTTGGTTTGATTATTGACTCTTGTTATCCTAGACAGGATAATAAAAGAAAACATTTGGATGCTTACAGGCAAGTAATGTTGGTTAAATTGTAGCTCAAATTCACCCACAAAAATGTTTGCTGAATCATTTCTGCAGACCTAATTAGACTACACATAGCAATACGTTTTTCTGTGGTTCTAACATACTTTTTTAGGGAAATGTGAGGTCTAAAAAGGACTCTGAAGCAGGAATATTGGTAATACAAATGAAGTTCCAATGAAACCATACATTTTAATGACATGACGGAGACGACCATGTAAAATCACTGTATCCCTCTCAGATGCACAGGTGATGAAAAAGTCTTTTAAGTTATAAATGTATGACAGTTCGTGTTTAACTACCCGACACATATTTGTTATATGATACTGTCAGCACATATGACGTCATGTTATAAACAAACATAAAGCATATCTTTTTATCAATTAGAGCCTGTGCTCAGATGCGGTTCTCCTGTTTTCAAAAATAGTCCATACACTAAATAAATAAAAAAAAATCATAAATTGTTGTATTAGCCAAAAACACTAAAACACGACAATTTTATCACACCAATTATAAGGTATCGGTTACAGTTAAATGCAATCAAATGTAGCTGCATATGTCACACCAGTGTTTCCATCCACAGCCTCCACCTTCAGCTCTGTACCTCCCATTATCATTCTGACCTTGACTTTTCTGTTAGTTCCCCTTGTGAGGTCAGGCATTCTCACCAAGATAGTTCCAAGGACGCGGCACCCTGGATCTGTGGCGTAAGATGGAGATGCAGAAGGAGATGCAGTAACCTCTATAGACACTGATGTCTGATTTTGGTAAATTGGAGAGAATTGTCGATAAGGAGTTGCCTGACCATTCCGCATACTTGTACCGTTTGTTATAATCTTCGCAAAGATGCCGGAGCAGTATTCTTTTCCTTCGATTAGTGTAAGTTTATGTCTGGGATGTCTGTTATGGTCAAAGCTACCATACGTACTGACACCATATGTCAATGGTGCAATTCTCCATCCAATAATGTCGGAGTCGTGACCGAAAATGACTGCTCCTTTGAGGACAGCCGAGCTTGCCTCCACCGATATATGTACCTGGATGTGAGGGAATGCTTTTTTCATAGCGGCCTGCAGTAGTTTGCTGTCTGATAGTCCTCCTACCAAATAGATATTATTGGTAGAAGCCATCTCCGGTTTTGCCATCAGCTCCCTTACGTGGTTTACAATCTTTTGGACTGGCACATCAAAGAAGCTGGCAACCGTTAGGTGTGGAATGCTCATTTTATCACCTCTAATCTTGATAGAGTGTTGTATTCCGGTTGTTCTACCCAGGCTCTCTCTAAGACAGTAAGGAATCCAGATATTTGCTGCTGACATTGTAGCTACCGGGTTAAAAGACCGCTTGACAATCTCGAATTCCCTCTCTATCTGCAAATTTTCAGCTTTTGACATTTTCCTGATAGCGGCGAGTCCAAAGACTTTCACAAGGAATGTCTGGAAAGCGTCGTCTACCTTTGTTCCTCCCCATGGACCTCCTGATGGAGGAAGGACTTCCTGTAGTTTACCTGAAAGGCGAACCTTGTGCGCAGTCACATCCACCGTACCGCCTGAAAATGATAATGGTAGATTTTAAAATGACTTGATAGCACATACAAAAATGTACTTACAGAGTAAACAGACAAGGTAAACACAACTTTCATATTATGAGTATGGGATCACTTACGAATGATGTCGATAATGTTTGGAAAGATCAATACAGTGTATTTCTGACTAAGAGTTACTTTCGTTATGTAGTTAGTTCTTTATTATATGTGGATACTTCTTTATGTTATGTCAAGAGTCTCTATTTAATGACATATCATAAGGAAGTTACCATATAATGTAACGGAGTTGAACACAATAAGGCAGATACGGCGATCCATAACATTGACCTAATTAGGATGTGCTTGATAGTAAGAAGCAGCTACTTCTGTTCGATTCTCAAGGTCGAGATAAATACCTCCAGAATCCACAATCATGAACGTATGGCCGATGGGGAACATTTCCTGGCGAACGTTAGATTTACAATACAAGGCAGCAGCTTCCGGTTCAAGAGCCAGTTTCAGACGATCACCATTTATGCCGGCCTGCAAGAGCATTGGAATATAGGATATTCATTACCTACTAGCAATTCGATAGTCATCATGCAGATACCATTTGTTAACCAGTAATTATCTAAGCACAAGACGAGAATACCCATGTGACAACAAAAGCGTAACTAACATAATAAAAAACATTACACATTGAAATAAATTATTTTCCTATGGGATTATGATGTCGACCATATAACCTATCTGTGGTATACATCAACCTGCATCTCCCGAAACCAAACGTGTTAGTTTGTCCTTCAGCAGTCAAAAACTATCGCTGAAACCATGATATCCTGAGCAAGCTCTTGATTAACTACGTTAGGGAAACGGGGATGGTGATATCAAGAAGAGGAAAGTTGCCATCGCGAAAACGATATCGCGACGCTTATCGTACAGCATAATAGTGAAAGATCAGGGAACGGGGCTGATGTAGAAGAGTATGTAGTTTTTATTTTTAGCTCAGAAGGGTAGTCCTGATTCAATGGTACTTGGAATTGAAGAAAGAAGTTTAGATAATTGCTTGCTTGAGACACTTGCACAGCTGGTTGATTCTTTTGAAGTTTTCACATTTGTTTGGAAAAAATGGAAAACGTATATATTTGAATTACTTGGTTATCAAGCAAGCCTCATTCTTTCATTCTAATATGACAGTAAAGATGTCTCGATAATGACATTCCATAAAATGCCCTCTTAGCTTTACATTAGGGACAATATTTTGGAACTCGGTGGTATTGAGATGTAGAACAGGAACATACTGAAGGACGGTTTATTCTGAGACCATCTTAATTAAAATGTTTAAGCGTTTGCTTGTATAATTAAAAAAAAACGTATAAGCAATATGTTTAAAATAACTGAGAAATGGTTGGGACACTTTTGTACTTGTTACATTTTCTGTAGCTATGCCGGACTTGTGGTGTAGGCAATATGACATGGACTCTACCTACTACACAGATTTTGTAAAGTATCATCATATACCGACTTGTATATATTATACTCTAGCACATAAATGCGATGCCGTTGGAACACAAAGTAGGGAGATTGAATTTTCAGTAGTGAGAGGGTTTTTTCCGGCATCACGCCGTAGTGTCGTTTCTTTAATAATTCACAAATTCTCCCAAATTTTTAGGAAAAAAACCACCATGTGTATTTTCAAATTTTCTATTAAAAAATCAAAAACTCATCAAAATATTGGTTCGGTTTTGCAATGAATTAGATATAATAGAGATACAAGTAGTTGAACGTTTAAAAAGATCAGAAAAATGACAGTTTTAACAGCCCTGTCTTCTAAATTACTACCATATCCAGTTTGTCACATTTTTGTTAGACAAAAAAGGCAAATAATGCAGATAATGTACGTGTTATGTTGGCCAACTTGATTTGGTATTCACCATTATTTATCTAATGTGAAATTGTTGATCTTTTAGAAAAAGATGGGAGCCATATTTGGCTGCCGCTCACCGATAAGCATTTATTTTTGCATGATGATACATTTGGGACAGACCTATATAAATTACAATTTGTGAGGAAAAAAATCGGCTTTACCTATTTGGAGATATTGGGGGTAATGACAAATTTCCGATTTAAGGCATACATGAATCTTTTATTAGTTAATGTTTTTAACGAACAACCATTAGGTTGAGGATCAATTAAAGAATTCACAATAAAATAGTGGGTCGATAACAAAAAACAAATAGTCACAGTGACTCATTTCAAATAAAGTTGATTTCTGTTGTATTCACGTTACAATAACTCTTGTGTTTCTTGTATTCTGATCCGAAACATAATTGATACTCCAGGAATATTAAATGAAAAATAGTCTTAGTAGTTCAATGGAATGTATCAAAGGTAAAATAGTAAAATTAATAGGGACAAGGGGCCCATTGCATGTATACATACATGAGACAATATGTCAGATTGTCATGTCAACCAGCACCGAATCACTTCATTATTACTTTATGTTTGGTGACGTTTCAGTGCACTAAATTTTTTTTATCTTTTGTTTATTTATATTTATGAAATTTTCTGATTTATAATAATTATTCCTTTTATTTACAATGCAATCCTCTTGAGAAGGACACAGCTAGTCAGACTGTGACCAATCATCGGATTTGATTGCGTCATTTAACACAGTGAGTTAATTTCTTGATGAAGCTCATGAGAAAATACTAAAGGTCCTATTCATAGGTGCATTTATCATACTCTTTTCATTGACCTTTCAAATAAATGTTATGGTTAAAATGAAGGGTAACATTTAATGGAATTAAAAGAAACTTATTCTTGTTTAATCACATTTTATTGATGTTTTTTGCGAACACATATTTGAATAATTGATTTAGACTTAATTAATGGATAGTTTTGGAACAGAGAAACAAAATATATGTCATTTTACTGCCCCTCATTAGATCCCTAATATGTCGGAAGGGGTTAAACGAATTTTATTCACATACATGTAAATCAATTTGTGTAGGTCTTACCTAAAGGTATGGCGATGCAAAAATAAACGATAATCGGTGAGGGGACCACTAAACAGCCAAATATGCCATCCCTCCTTTCCTTCACAATGTTTCAAAATTAGAAGTACACGAAATAATCATAGGGAAACATTAAGTGTTTTAATGGTTACAAGATCTGTCATTTGCCACATCTGGAATGTGTTTGCGGATTGTTCCATCAGAATGCAATTATTTCTTTGCGTATTTTAAACACAGCTTTTACTGATAAATGATGTCCATAAGATTTATTGTCGAAAAAGGAACGGAAATAAAACCCGGACAGCGTTTATAATAATCGGCATTTTGACATTTGGGAGTAACCATTGTAATGAAATCTTACATAATCTATCAAAGATGTCTTGAAAAATAGAAGTGAACAACTGTATAAGGAATAAACCAACAAAACAACCAAATTCTACTATGACTATTGACTGATCAAATTGGAACAGACAGGCGCTTTAAGCATTTGAGTTACCTGTAACTACATTGTAACATTTTATCCGGTAGATTTACCTTCACTGCAGCCTTCCTCATGAACTGTTTGGCAGCATCGTTCCAGATTGCGGGTACAGTTAAAACCCACTGGATGTCCTCTTCTTCAACGATGCTTCTTTCCTGCAACATTTCGTGGAAATGATCCCGAAGGTAGTTGATCCCTGCTGAAAACACGTCCATTGCGCGCATCTCCCTTCCTGTCACATCTTTTATCCTGGTCATCTCATTTAAATTCTGGAAATGGTACCATCAAATGAACATTATGATATTACCATTGTTCATATAATAAAATACTGCAATAAATGGAAACGCAAGACTTAAATACTGTTAGTTAATATTGTTAATCGTGAATGTAAATTAGAGCCAAAGTTTTGGGCCGCAAGAACAGTCATTTTAGGTCAGAAAAAACTTTTCGGCTGCTTCATCTTCTACATGTAGAAGAAAATACTTCAAGTTACAGCTCTGACTGGAAATGTTCTTTGCGATTATAACTGAGTTAGTGGAACCCTTTAATCTAACTTGTTTCTACTGTTGTAGAATTCTTTGTTAACTGCTATAGAATGATCGTCAACTTCTATAAGAAACATGTTTTTCTTAAGAAGATCTGAAAGTGAATAGTATTCTACATACTGGTTGATGAAATTCTCACCTCGTTTTTGAAAAGCGTCATTTTGAATCTTTTGAAGTAATACCATTGCTTTTGATGGTCATCCGGCAACCTGGTGTAAGTATCCTCTGCCTGGTACCCGAATGAGTGGAACTTTTGTCTGGAGTCAAATAGTATGGAGGTAGGTGCCTTAGTGGACTGTTCCAAGCCTATTCCAGTCGGCCAAAGGTAAGTTCTCACTTTTTTCTTGTTAGACTTATACTCGTGGTAGAAGGAAAAGGCGTAACCCGAGTACGTCGTCCCAAAGTCGATAGCTACCACCAGTAATTTCTGAGCTGAGGCCATCTTGAAGAATCATAAACATGATATAAATTCATTGAAATGACGCCTGATTACATCCGAAACTTCTATGCCGAGACCATCATGAACTCTGTCATAAATCTACACGCACTTTAAATATTTAGTCAATGGTTTATGTTTTCTGTGTATCACTTAGGTAAGAGAAGTTATTAACGTTTTCCATTACAACTAATCACTTCGTACACCTCTCCAAAGTTTAGAAATAACAAACTTTATATATATTTATTGGATATCTTAAATTAACAAAGCATTGGTTCTACGCATAACGCCTTTTAAGGTTTGTTAAATACAGTGAGCATTGTTCATTATAATGTTTACTTAGCTCCTGAGTTAAGGCTAAACAATTAGAAAGGTTGTTTTTTCTACTGAAATAAATGCAGCTGACGTTTATTTTAACAAATAGAAATCAGTGAATTTGTTGTACAACATGTGGCATACATTGTTTTTTTAGTTTACTATTTTTTGTTCAACCAACCCACTCCTCAAATTGTAGAAATAACCATTTCTCGGGCTTAAAACACCAACATCTTTATTGAAAATCTATTTCAGATAAGAGAGTAAACTTACTTCGCTCAGAAAATATCATGTGCCCCCCGTAGTAGTAGAGAAAAAGTGGGAAGTGGGGATCATATCGCAGTTCCAGTTTATAGAACTCTCAATTTCAAAAGAGGTTCAGCAAAAATTGTAGCAGCAACAAGCAGCAGTAATGTATGTTGTGTATGATCATTTATCCCATTTGAAGTGATGGAGAAATCAGGGCCAATATTGCCACTCACACACAGAATCGACAGGATGAGTTTTATCTTATGCTAAGAAACGAAACAATACCCATTGTATTAATAATGAATATGTTTTTGTGCTAAGAATGGATATCATTGAATAATGTCACGGTATTGAATGTTAAAAACAACACGATTCACCAGAATTTTGAGCAATTTTATAAGTAAGAGCAAGTTCATTATGCCACATTCCAAACACAGAACATATGTGAAATTTTATCAAATTGTATTTATATTGCATACATTATAAAAAAAACATACTAAAATTGAGGCAAAGCAATCAAAATCTCCATAACAACATAAGCCAACACTGTTGATAGTCAAATTATCTAGCTTCCCGAGAAAAACACAAGCAGGAAGTGTCTTTTGGATTACTTCCACCTCGAAACATAGACCATTGTGTATATAGAGCTATCGTAGTACTCATGATTCTAAATTGTTCTATTCAATAAATCGTTTTTCTTAGTGCTACTCGGATTATCCAGCATCATTTTTTACAACAGTCTTTCGGAGTAATTTGTTCTGAAATACTTATTTTTCCTTTATAAAATCCAAACAATGACGGCCAGTTGGATTATTTCTAGATGAACTTTAACTATTTGTGGTGTTCAAATGGATTATAAATTTCTGAATATTTTATATTTAATGTACATGGGCAAAGAAGTAATAACGATAGTGCAGACAAAGAAATTTGTCAAATTCAGGGCGATCTGCCTCTTTTAATATCAAGACAGGAAAATGAAAATTTAAATATAACAATATAAAA